ATATATATTGTTTATACTGCTTGTAATTGGGATAAGGTAAACATCTGTTCAGTATTTTAACATAAAAGTGTTGATTGTGAGGCATCAAAAGCCACAAAATGCAACGGGTCCATCAGACCCACAAACACTGGCTGAGTAACAACAATATGAACATTACACAAGGGTTAAGCAGGATTATATGGGTTACATAACGTGAGTCATTGTATCACACTCAGTAGACAGCATAGTAGTCAGCGTATTTTATCCCTTTACATTTTAGTGTGCTGCTGGTTTTATCTTGCAGGAAGTACGTACGTGTGCTTCAGAGAGTGAATTTAATTTTCAAGCGATATAACTTCAGTTTGGGCTGTGTTGCAACTGTAACGTAATGTGTGTATGTTGTTTACCACACACATTACAATTCTTAACGCAATGTTAAAATTGATATTAATAATATGAGCAATGCAATAGTTTCATTTTAATGAATATGTGGCTATAAGGGATTTTCTGACATCCATTTAATATGTTTACAGATTTGAGTACCAGATGGCCGAACGGATCCCAAATGAACCACAGCAGCCCTCAATTTCACAATTCCTGTTAAGTTGCGTCGGGCAATATAGCATGAGTCATCCACAGCAGAAAGCTATCACCAATGCAATACTGTCCTACCTGATTATTGACTGCAACTTCCCCTGGCTGTCATGGAAAACAAGAGTTTTCTGGACTTTCTGACAGTACTTGACAGCAAGTACAGCCCAGTGTGTCAAAGAGCACTGACATCAAAAACAGAGAACCTCGCTGAAGAGAGACGCTCAAAATTATTGAAAAAAATTAGCTTTTTCAAATGTTTATTTGGAGTGGTTTATTTATTATTGCAATTAGTAAGTGCAATGTCACCAATATCTTTGTGCAATTTCAATTGCACTTGTTTTGATAAATAAATACAGATTTTCAAAGCATACATGATTTGTGTAAATATATTATTATTTTGTTTAAAAGGACTCGAAAGGACTCGAAACAGAAACGGCAGGACTTGGGACTTGACTTGACACTTTTCAGTCTTGACTTGGACTCGACTCGGACTTTGCCTGTCTTGACTTGACTTGGACTTGAGTGCAAAGACTTGAGACTTACTTGTGACTTGCAAAGCAATGACTTGGTCCCACTTCTGCTGGGCTCTGATATTTCAACCTGTTGTTGTTGTTCTACGTACGTTCAAACGTGCAGTATCGAGAAAATCCATGCACTTCATTAGTGATTCTCTGGAAATATTTCTGTAATTTGTCAGTAACAAGAGGTAAACACTGATCTGGTTTTTATTTTGGTTCATATTTCCCAGATCTAACATGAAGAGTGTCAATTACTGGTAATTTTGTTGGGGAAAAAAGACATTGTTAGTTTAGTTAGTTTATGGAACAACTCAGGTTTAAGTTTCACTGAAGTCAGACATGTATAAATGACCATGTGACAAATAACCTTTGTTTTTTCTTTAATTTCCCTTGAGTCAGTTATATACTTACCCTGGTTCTGACAGTACAGGGTGCAGAATCACTTGTGGCGCTCTGCTGAGCGGAGCCTCTGGTGTGACATCTTCAGGGAGACAAGTGAAATATATATATAAATCAATTTGAAGATGGATAAATTTAGCTTTACAATTTTTTAAACATGTTTCAGTTGTTCAAATTTCCCTTGAGTCAGTTATATACTTACCCTGGTTCTGACAGTACAGGGTGTAGAATCACTTGAGGCGCTCTGCTGGGCGGAGCCTCTGGTGTGACATCTTCAGGGAGACAAGTGAAAAAAAAAAAGAAAAATTTGAAGATGGGTAAATTTAGCTTTAAATTTTTTAAGCATGTTTTAGTTGTTCTACTATTAAAATTATATTCTGTATAAACTGGTTTCATTTATCCAGTTGTGTAACTCTGAACTATCAACCCTTGCTAAAAAATCCAGTAGCCTGTTGCCCCATCTCTGGTCCACGATCCAGATGTTTTCTGGACAGTGCTTCCTGCTGTTTAAATGGTGTCGATTTGCTTTAAAAATACAAACAGCTGCCACAGTCTCACATCATAAAAGCTTTTGTTATCCCCGTTGTTAGCACTGATGTCGTATGGGTATTTTTTTTTTCTCCTGTTATGTGCACCAGTGAAAAACATCAGATGATTCACTGGCACGTTGGCTGACAGTGTTGGCACTTTCCCACGATTTGTGACACGACGTGGGAGCCACAAAAAGCAATCCTTTGTGACATGGTGCATTACGAGCTGACATCATTGCCTTTCAGCAAAGACGGACCTTTTTTCATTTTCTGTTTGGTGC